TACCATCCATCCACCCTCTACCGACCATCCTCCCTCTACCGACCATCCATCCATCCTCTACCATCCATCCTCCCTCTACCGACCATCCATCCTCCCTCTACCATCCATCCACCCTCTACCGACCATCCACCCTCTACCGACCATCCTCCCTCTACCGACCATCCTCCCTCTACCATCCATCCTCCCTCTACCGACCATCCACCCTCTACCATCCATCCACCCTCTACCGACCATCCTCCCTCTACCGACCATCCATCCATCCTCTACCATCCATCCTCCCTCTACCGACCATCCATCCTCCCTCTACCATCCATCCACCCTCTACCGACCATCCACCCTCTACCGACCATCCTCCCTCTACCATCCATCCACCCTCTACCGACCATCCTCCCTCTACCATCCATCCATCCACCCTCTACCATCCATCCTCCCTCTACCGACCATCCTCCCTCTACCATCCATCCACCCTCTACCGACCATCCACCCTCTACCGACCATCCACCCTCTACCATCCATCCACCCTCTACCGACCATCCTCCCTCTACCGACCATCCATCCACCCTCTACCATCCATCCTCCCTCTACCGACCATCCTCCCTCTACCATCCATCCACCCTCTACCATCCATCCTCCCTCTACCGACCATCCTCCCTCTACCATCCATCCACCCTCTACCGACCATCCACCCTCTACCGACCATCCTCCCTCTACCATCCATCCATCCACCCTCTACCATCCATCCTCCCTCTACCGACCATCCACCCTCTACCGACCATCCACCCTCTACCGACCATCCTCCCTCTACCATCCATCCACCCTCTACCGACCATCCATCCTCTACCATCCATCCACCCTCTACCGACCATCCATCCTCTACCATCCATCCACCCTCTACCGACCATCCATCCTCTACCATCCATCCACCCTCTACCGACCATCCTCCCTCTACCGACCATCCTCCCTCTACCGACCATCCTCCCTCTACCGACCATCCTCCCTCTACCGACCATCCATCCTCTACCATCCATCCACCCTCTACCGACCATCCATCCTCTACCATCCATCCACCCTCTACCGACCATCCTCCCTCTACCGACCATCCACCCTCTACCATCCATCCACCCTCTACCGACCATCCACCCTCTACCATCCATCCACCCTCTACCATCCATCCTCCCTCTACCGACCATCCATCCACCCTCTACCATCCATCCTCCCTCTACCGACCATCCATCCTCCCTCTACCGACCATCCTCCCTCTACCGACCATCCATCCACCCTCTACCATCCATCCTCCCTCTACCGACCATCCTCCCTCTACCATCCATCCACCCTCTACCGACCATCCACCCTCTACCGACCATCCTCCCTCTACCATCCATCCATCCACCCTCTACCATCCATCCTCCCTCTACCGACCATCCACCCTCTACCGACCATCCACCCTCTACCGACCATCCTCCCTCTACCATCCATCCACCCTCTACCATCCATCCACCCTCTACCATCCATCCTCCCTCTACCGACCATCCATCCACCCTCTACCATCCATCCACCCTCTACCGACCATCCTCCCTCTACCGACCATCCATCCACCCTCTACCATCCATCCACCCTCTACCATCCATCCTCCCTCTACCGACCATCCATCCACCCTCTACCATCCATCCACCCTCTACCGACCATCCACCCTCTACCATCCATCCACCCTCTACCATCCATCCTCCCTCTACCGACCATCCATCCACCCTCTACCATCCATCCACCCTCTACCATCCATCCACCCTCTACCGACCATCCACCCTCTACCATCCATCCACCCTCTACCATCCATCCTCCCTCTACCGACCATCCACCCTCTACCGACCATCCATCCTCCCTCTACCGACCATCCTCCCTCTACCGACCATCCATCCACCCTCTACCATCCATCCACCCTCTACCGACCATCCTCCCTCAACCGACCATCCATCCACCCTCTACCGACCATCCATCCTCTACCATCCATCCACCCTCTACCATCCATCCATCCTCTACCATCCATCCTCCCTCTACCGACCATCCATCCACCCTCTACCATCCATCCACCCTCTACCGACCATCCATCCTCTACCGACCATCCACCCTCTACCATACATCCACCCTCAACCGACCATCCACCCTCAACCGACCATCCACCCTCAACCGACCATCCACCCTCTACCATCCATCCACCCTCTACCATCCATCCACCCTCTACCATCCATCCACCCTCTACCGACCATCCATCCACCCTCTACCATCCATCCACCCTCAACTGACCATCCACCCTCAACCGACCATCCTCCCTCTACCATCCATCCACCCTCTACCATCCATCCACCCTCAACTGACCATCCTCCCTCTACCGACCATCCATCCACCCTCAACCGACCATCCTCCCTCTACCGACCATCCATCCACCCTCTACCATCCATCTAAACTACCATCCATCCAACCACAAGCGACCATTACTGTACGGGGAATGCTGTAAAATCTAATATCTCCTCTCCCTGCTCCTCCAGGAGGACTCAATGCTGTAAAGTCAATGACTCGATGCAATCAGATGGTTTTCCTTAGATAGAAACTTTAAACCCAGTGGCGGATCTAGGGGGTGGCTACCCAGGCTGCAGCCCCAGATGTTTCCCCAAGAGCCCCGGATCTCGCTTCTGAGCTGATCAGAGTAAAATGTGCAGTACTGGAATTCACCAGAGAGTGGCAGCATGTGCGTGAAAGCAGCCTGTAGCATTCCTGTGCAGAAGAAGTCCCCACTAGCTGTTGCTAATCAGACTGATGTCCCAGGTAGAGTCCTGCACGGGTCGAGTTTTACCAACCCGCACCCGCCTGAACCCGTTAGGATGACTACCAAACCCGATCCGTCACCCGCGTATATCTTCAATTCAAATCCGAACCCGAACCGTTGATATTTAACCTGCAACCCGACCCGTTAACACATCCAGTAATAGGCTATAGCACGCTGCGCTGCAGAACAGCGCCATTAACACTGCAGCAGACGTGTATGCACTGACTGTGGCCTTTTTGGAGGAAGCCCACACTGCCGGCAGGGCTTTAAGCTACAGCAAGGGTGACCCCAGTGCCTGATTAATAGAACATTTCTGATGTCCATAACAATAGACACGCATAAAACAAAATCACCAACTACCCGCCCGCACTAAAAAAAATATCCGCCCGACCCGTTTATTTTTATTTATGTGTTTTTTACCCGCAAAAGAGCATTTTAGAGGGTGACCCGTCGGGGACCCGTGGGTACCCGACCCGTTGCAGGACTCTAGTCCCAGGTATGTGAAGCTCTGACTGACTTCCAGACGTTCTTTGTTCTGGAGTTGTATAAAATTCTGTTCCCCTTGTGTCGGGAGCGCGCATTGCAGCCAGAGAGGCGAACATGGCGGATGGGACCATTTTCATTCATGTCAATGTTGTAACATCCAGTTTAATCAGCAGCTGTTGTCTATAAAATCGTAAAATAAATAAATAGACGAGGTCCTTTTAAGCTGTTTTGTGTTATTTTTTAAACGCCAAGAGAATCTGTCTTTTTCCAACTTCTGTCAGTTAAGCCTGACAGAAATAAAAGTCAGAAGTATTTATCATTTTTCACTGCTGATATAAGAGGACGGAAACTGGCTGATAGCAGGACATAAAAATTAAGATTTCCAGAAAAGATGAGAGAGTAGACTTTCTGGTAAATCCCGTTCTAATGTAAAATATGACAGATTACTGGATTAAAGAAATTTCTAGTATACTACATGCTATCAAACATAACATTTTTTGAGAATTTGGAAACAGTTGCTGTTTATTTCCTAAACATATGGGAGGAGGAGAGAATGGATATTTCAGCTGCCTGGAATATTCCGTTCCTCCTCCATAACATGGGAAGAAATTCATTCACCTACAAATCTTTAACTGTGTTTATTCCTCTCATCATCAACAACAAATGCTGTGGATTTGGTGACATTAAATCATTATTTGCCAAAGTTATGAGAGGGAAATCGTATATTTTAGCCACCTGATATAATCCGTTTCCCCTTTGATGATCTTTATGAAATTTCTTTTCTGTTTAAATGTTTATCTAAAAATTTACAAATTTATTTCAAAAGAAAAGTTCAAACCAAAACAGCTGGACTTTGTTTTCCAAGTTTGAAGATGTTTCGTTTTCCATCCAGAGAGCTTTCTCAGTTCAAAATGTCTGAAGTAATGCTATTCCAGACATTTTCAATTGATAATTCACATATTTTTATTAACTATTTAAGATGTCAAAATATAAAATAGATGTTTCAAACATAATATAGAAAAAATAATGTCAGTTTCAAAATTCACAGGATTTGTTTAATTTTTCCCATGTTATGGGGGAGCAGATTATATCAGGTGGCTAAAATATATGATTTCCCTTCATAACTTTGGTAAATAATGATCAAATGTCTCCACAGAGCTTGTTGTTAAATAAACGCAGTTAAAGACTTGCAGGTAAAGGAATTTCTTCCCATGTTATGGAGCTGGAATTGTTATGTGTGATAGCATGTAGTATACTAGGAATTTCTTTAATCCAGTAATCTGTCATATTTTACATTAGAACGGGATTTAGCAGAAAGTCTACACGATCATCTTCACCCTCGGGGCTAAGCCCCTGATCTCCTAGAATCCTAGATCCTCCCCTGTTTAAACCCTTAGTCTGACTGGATGATCTGGTTGATCTGGATCTATAAAGGGACCTGAGATGACATGTGAACTGGAGCTATAGAAATAAACTGAATAGAATTTATTCCTCATCTGTGTTTATCAGAAGAGGCCAAATGAGATCAAAAGGAGGGAAGCTGGTCACAAAATTAGCAGCTTAACATCAAAATTAAACAGAAACCAGAAGAGATTAAAAGTTTTCCTTTTCTGCCTCCTTCAACATCTAGTTTCTGATCAGATGACAAACTGGCTCCCCGCCGGGCGGCCATGTTGGGAACACGGGGCCTCACCAGGTGCTGCTCACATTCCATGGAACCGCTTCAATCACATCCAGCACGTGCGCTTCCTGCAGCGCGTGCGCCGCGACTGCGGGGCTTTTAAAAGCGCGTGTGCTGCGTTCACGGCCTGTGGAAAAGACCGGCTTCTCCTGAAAAACAATAAAAACTGCAAATAGCAGTAAATGAAGGGCCATAAAGGAAAGAAAGCGTTGCTTGAAACCAGAATAATAATAATAATATTCACATAAAATGTCGCTGGTGGGAAAATGATGGAGGAAATGAGTGGAAATCAGTTAACAAGTAAACCTGGGATAGGAGAAAGAGGCAAGGACATCAGAGATAGAAGAAAACGTCTAATCAGTGTATTTCTATATCACCGTTGTAACACAGATGTAGTTTAATCAGATCATCCAGTCAGATTAAAGGATCAAATTTGTTCCTAAGGAAAAGCAGCTGACTGCATCCAACCAAGGCCTGGATCGCCTTCTCTATGGCTGACTGCTCAAAGTCTGCTGTAGGGGGGAGAGAATGTGTCTCCCTCCTTCCCTCAGGGGTGAGTTTCCCCCCCTGGAAGCCCTACCAGCAGGGGCCCCTCCATAAGGACCCACTGTGTTCCCAGCAGTGATGCATGTGATCAAATAAAACATCTGGAGATGCACGCTGTACGTTCAAAACTAACTGAAGCAACAGATGTTTAATAAAAAGCTGAAGATTTCATGAGAAAATGAGTTTAGATAAAAGTTCATTAAGCCTCATTATAACTTTAGATTTGATTGTTTTCTGAAGCCTTTTAGAATCATGGCCTTTTTTTCCTGCCAAGTGTCAAATAGAAAAGATTTTTACTAATGGCTCATAGAAGAACAGACTTATGTAGATTATTAATCAGTGTTTGGGCAGGATAGAAATAGCTGATAGAAGCAGTTGATGAAAGGAGGAATAGTTTCTAAAATGTTCTGGGAAGTCTGTCATGTTTTGGTTTAAGGCTCAGATGCACATGCAGACACACCCAGAGACAGAATCAGATGTAGTGCTTCATTCTATCTCTATTCTCCCACTCTGCAGAATCTGTTAGTTCAATCTCTAACGTTCTGCTCTCTCTGCTTTTTCTCATAGTAGCTTCATCTGGTCTGTTCCTGTTTGGCTGTGACTCCATCCTGGAGAGAAATATCAGCTGTGCTGCTGCCATCAACACCTTTGTTTCTAGATGTTGGAGCTTGGCCTGTTTTCCAGTGTAGTCCTGTTTCTCTGACTGTGACTAACTGGATGTGCTCTCTTCATCCTCTGACATGGGAGCTGGCTCGGAGCTCGTCTGCCTGGCTGTGTGTTTCCTGGACGGGGCCGCCTTTTAAAGTTGCCTTTTGTATCTATGCTTCTTTTTCTATGTCTGCTTCTGTCTCCTTGAACCCCAGTGGGCCTCAGCAGATGGTCGCTCACACTGAGCCTGGTTCTGCTGGAGGTTTCTTCCTGTTCAAAGGGAGTTTTTCCTCTCCACTGTCGCTACAAGCATGCTTAGTGTGAGGGATTGCTGAAGAGTCACTATAGCAATAACTGAAGATAATCTGTATGTTTGATTCAAATGATCAAAGAAATTAAAACAAATTTTTATTTAATATTCCCCAAAATTTTACAAAACAAAGATAATAATTACAAATGATAGAAATCTTTAATAGCCAGACAGACTTTGCATAAAAGACTAAATGAAAACAAAACTTTCATTGAAAATCAGAGGAAACATTAAATTGTCAATTAAATCTCAAACCAAAGATCTTTTATAATCGAACAAAAACAAAGAAATACAAACAAACATCAAAATAAAATAAAGAAGCTTTGAAAATGTTAAATAATCAAGTAGTTAAAGAGGTTTATTCCAAATATTGCAGTAAGATGTGGGAATGAGAGCAGAGGGAGAATTTCATGAAGAGAAGTACGCTGACGTCACCGAGGACTTCGCCTTCAATGGAAACCCTAAAAACAAAAACATCATCAGCAGACTGTTAACACGCACCCAGGTCTACCTGCCTGCTCCTCATCTGCCTCAGGATGAGGAAGGCTGCTGCAAAAGTCATCATCATCATCTTCCAACTCTGAGCATTTATAAATAATTGTGTTTTTCTGAAGCATAGAATAATCTACTGAACAGATTGGATCAGGAAAGGAAGAATATCAGAAACTCTAACCAACTGATTCCCAACCGGGGGTACGGGGACCCCTAGTGGTCCACGACTGCATTGCATGAAATACATGCAAATATATTTATTTCTTAGGTAGTAAAATAAAACAGGGCTGGGATGTTTTCTGCTTAGTGAGGAGAAAGTAGAAAAATAAAAAAAGATTTTATTTACCAGAAAGTTTCAAAAACATGAATAAAGGGAAAAGAAGTCATAACGGTTGGGAATCAGTGAGCTAGCCTGAGCGCTAACTGAAGGCCTAGCTGGGAGGCGTCTCCTCCTACTGAAGCTTAACCTTTAGATCAGGATTCTCCTCTAATCGGACTGACGAACATTTTAAGAACTAAGCTTTATGGAAATGTTGCGATCCTCCTAAATGTTCAGTATTTTACCTCTTTGAATGATGTTAGATGACAAAGGCTTGACTGGGAGGCCGTCGTCTCCGCTGCTGAAGTACTTCGCATCCAGACCAGCAGAGTCTCCACTGCCAACAGGAGGAAACAGGAGCTTTAAAAGGCAAATATTTCACCCCATTTGGAAAAGCTCCTGACTTTGGATAATCCCTGATCTGCAGAACCAGAGCGTCATCAGGTCTGGACGG